GGTCAATGGGCAGTAACTCCCTCCCTGGTCAATGGGCAGTGACCCCACTCCCTGGTCAATGGGCAGTAACTGGGTGAAGGAATAAAAGTGACGACAAGTGTAGGGCAGGGCTAGGTCTATGGGCGGGGCCTGCGTTCGGGGGCGTGTGGGCGGGGCTGGTGCAGCGGCCTCTGATTGGTCAAGACGTGCCCCGCCCCTTAGCCTGACGTCGCGGCGGCGTGCAGACGCAGTGACGCCATGACGCAGGCAGCAGCAGCGGCGGCGGTGGAGGTGGTGGTCGGGCCCCGCGGTCAGTGACAGGAGCCCGGAGCGGGAGCGGCCCACACACACACTGACCCCGGCAGATAGACACCGATAGACCCGGCACAGGGGAGGCTGGGGCACGGCCAGGCCGGCCCAGTCCCACCCCCACCCCCACCATGTCTAAGTCTCTCCGCCGGCGGCGGCACTGGCTCAGCCGGACTCAGGAGGTGGCCGTTCCCGGGGACGCGCTGTCGCTGGGCGGCGGGGCCGAGTTCGGCCAGTTCCCGGTCCTGGCATCACCGCTCAGCGGCTCCGAGACCGGCCCTAGCCCCGGGCCCGGAGACATCCTGCTCGAGGTCAACGGCACCCCGGTCAGCGGCCTGACCCGCCGCGACGTCCGGGCCGTCATCAGGCACTTCCCTCAGCCCGTCCGAGTGCGGACAGTGCGGCCAGGTGAGGGGGCCGAGGAGGCGGGAGAGTGAGGGGGTCGGGCACGGGAGGGTGGTGAAGGGGCGGGCTGAGACATGGTGGAGAAAATGCTGGGCTGGGTGAATGGGAGGGGGGCGAGGGGATGAAGGTGAAGGGGTTGAGTGTGAGGGAGGGAGTTTAGGGAATAATGGGGGTTGGGAAGGGATGTGAGGGGGAAAGGCTGGCAGTGAGGGAGGATAGAGATGGTGGGGTTGGGACTAGGGAGGGGATGGGGAAGGAGTGGGCTGATGGAGTGAGGAGTTGGGGGAGCGAGTGACTGGGGTGAGGAGCAGAGGTTGGAGTAGGGTAGTGATAGGGTTTGGAGAAGCGAGGTTGGGCTAGAGTGGGGAGGGGAATGAGGGAGAATGGAGTAGTGAAGTCGAAGTAATAGGAGAGTGGGGTGGGTGGGTGGGTTCGGGGTTGAAGGAGGAGATGAGCTATGTGGAGTGGACCAGCTGTGGTGACTGGTGAGTGGGGAAGGGTAGTATGTGTGGGGAAATTGGAGGTGGAGGGGAGGGGAGGGGAGGGGGGGAATGTGACCTGGGGGAGGGGATAGTGTTTAAGCTGAGTGAGGGTTGGAGTTTGCACAGGGCTGTGTAACGTGGGAGAGTTTGGATGGGAGATTTAAAGATAGTGGGGGGGGGGGGGTTTTGGGGATTAGAGTTTTGATAGAGGGAGCATGGTGAGAAGGGCTGAGAGAGATGACTATGGAATGATGTATAGTTGTGTCAAAGGAAGTGTGCAGTGTTAACTGGTTAGAATGCTTTTGAGGAAAAGTGAATGGGAATGAAGGAATGCAGAGGGTCTAGGCAGCAGTGAGAGACTGAAGACTGAGTGGGAAGAGAATAAACTGGGGAAGACTATGAAACCTTGGAGACAGCACTGCAAGAAATATCAAGGAGAGTGGTTACTAGGAATTTGAAATAACAGGATCTGTACATGGAAGAGAAACTGGGAGAAGCAAATAAGGGAAGTAAACAGAAAAGAGTTTGTAATGATAAAACTACAAACTGCGGATGCTGGAAATCCAAAACACAAACAGAAATTGCTGGAAAAACTCGGTAGGTCTGGCAGAGTTAACGTTTTGGGTCCAATGACCCTTCAGGACTGTCTTCTGGCCACAGGACCCAAAGCGTTAACTCTGCTTTCTCTCCATGGATGCTGCCAGACCTGCTGCATTTCTCCAGCGATTTCTGTTTTTGTTTAGAGTTAGTTTGCACCCCTAACCCAGTCTCTTCACTAGGGATTGTGAACAATGACCTGGGAGGAGACACAGACTGACATCTATGGTTAGAAGGATTTGACAGTGACCAGTGGTTATGTACTTAAACAATGCATCAAACAAATGTTTTATCTTGCTTGTGGTTGCTACTGTACGAATGAGCTAGTGTTGATTGACATACTGAGATGTTGCGCTGAGTTTGTGGGGGTGATTTAATTCACCGTGTCTTAGCTCAACCAATCTGCTACGGTCAACTGCTGGATACAGGATCAGTACTTTTCTGCAGAAAGACCATGTAGGAATAATAGGAAAAAATCACCCTAGAATACGTTCTTTGCCTTATGCTGAAAAGTGAATTAAATGATATAATTTCATTACTATATATTACAAGGGAGGAGAGATGAAGGCGTGTTGGTATTGTTGCTAGACTTGTAATCCAGAGGCCCAGGCTAATGGCAGCATAAGTTTAGATCCCACAAGGATGTCTGGTAGAATTTGGATTACATTAATAAGTCTAGAATTGAAAGCTAGACTCTGGAATGGTGACAATGAAGCTATCATTGATTATTCTAATAGCTCATCTGCTTCATTAATGACCTGCAGGGAAGGAAATCTGCTATTCTTATCCAATCTGGTCTGCATGTGACTTCAGTCCCTCAGCAAATTCAGTTCAGGGGCAGTTAGGGATGCGCCATAAATGCTAGTAATCTTGTCCCATGAGCAATTAAGATAAGGTAGTTTCTTGAATTGCTGCAATACTTAGGTAGATGTATATTATCTTGTTATCAACTATTATCAAAGTTTCAATTTTCTTTTTAAAAATGGTAACCAGAAAATGGCTCTATAACTAGGATACCAAGTTAAAATTCTAAGCATTTGGTATGGATGGGCTATAGCATTGACTCTTCAGTCTTGTTTTACAGCAAAACTTGTGACAATGGGGTTTAAGAAAAAAGCAAACAAGATGTTGGAAATCAGAAACAAAAATTTGTTTTTGTTTATGATAATGGGGTAAAGGTGCACTCAAGCAGTGGAGATCTCTGCTTCTGGTTAAGAACCTGCTAATCTCCAGCCATTGCAGTGTAGACCATTTGTGTACATTTTACCTTTAAACAGAATTAGATTTTCAGTGTGTAATAAACATTACCAAAAATCACCTTAGTCTTTGAACAATCTTCCCCTGAGGTCAGACAGCTCTTTGAAATAAGCTGTTCTGTCAGCCTGTCGTTTGGCTGTCTCATCTCTGCTGTAAAGGGACTATTCCCAATTTTCATTCTGTGCTGTCTGGGTGGGAGAGCCCTGTTTTGTCTTCGATATCCACATTGAGGACATGAAGTTCATTACGCTTGTTCTCACATGTCTCACCACCACCACCGCTCCCCCCCTCAACCCCTACCCATCGGAGTATGCGAATAGAGGTGGGAGAGAACAAGAACATAGGGAACAAACCTCTTTTGTCCATTCATCGCTGTAGTAAACTGATGGGCAATGGTTTGATAATATTGGTTTTGTACATTAAACAGGCGATGGGATCAATGTATGATTCTGCAATCTGTCAGGAGACTTAGTGAGGGAATGAGAATAAATTCAAGAGTGATTATGTAGATTCTGACTGCAGACGTGAAGGTTGAGAGATGAGTTTGCTGTTTTGCATTCTGAAGGGACTGGGTAATTTCCTCCATACCAAACTGTTTCACCTTGGCTAGAACAATAGAACCAGGGCACTGTAACTCCACTTGATGTGGGAAAATTCAGAATGAATCAGGGGAGCCAATGGTTGTGATTTAAGTGAAGGAATGATTGTTCTATTATAGCTTCCTGGGGAGACATAATCAATTGATTCAAGTTCGCTTAAAATATAGATTCTAAAGATTTTTTTTCAAAAATTGTTTTGAGATCCGGACTGAGTAATTTGAGATGTTTGGTGAGTGAAGTGCACTCAGAGTGGGTGAATTTGCACAATGGTTTCCAAAGCTGTCTTCTGTAATTTTCTTTGCCTTGTGTTTGGATCTATTGTAGACTCATTGACTAATTGCAGTGATCACGTTCTGTCAGCAAACTGGTGTTGTTTCATGTGCCTACCAGGATGGTCGAAGGTGAATTCATTGAATCCTGGTCTTTCTTGCTTTGAAACTCTGGTATTCTTATTCGGGTGTGGAGTTTATCAAGGGTTGTATTACTGCTCGGGTCCCTAATTGATCCACTCGGGTGTTCAATGTGCTTCTGAGACTTTTGTTAAATTTTCAGCATATGTTAAGTATTCCCTCAAACCTTAGATTTTTAAAATAATTGTAAATCTGTTGGCTGTCCCAGAGCATGTTACTTGTTTGCAGAGCTGTCGTCTGTTTCTGCATCAGGAGTTTTTAAATTGTGTATTTTGAGGTGTCGTCATTTGGGTGAGGTCTATATTTCTATCGGATGAGGGCTGTTGAGATGCATTGATACTGTTCTGATCTCTGAGCCAGGAGGCCTGAGTTCAAGTTCCACCTGCTCTACAGGTGTGTAATATATCTATCAACAGGCTGATTAGAAAATATTTATATTGCTGTGAGACCTTCAACATCCATAAATTACAATTTGAGGAACAGGGAAAGTGTCTGTCAAGTATTATCACTTGAACACCGTTGTTTAAACAGATCATCTAGTTATCACAATGCTATTTGCAGAATTTTGCATACAAATTGGTCATGTTTTTGTTTCTTTTACTCAGTCATGGGATGTGGGCATTGCTGCCAGTGCCAACATGTATTGCCTATCCCTACGTGTCCTGGAGAAGGTAGTGGTAAGCTGTCTTCATAAGCCACTGCAGTTTTCGGAATGTGGGGACATATACAACGCTGCCAGGAAGGGAATTCCGGGTTTTGATCCAATGACAGTGAAGGCATGGCAATATATCTCCAAGTCAGGATGGTGAGTGGTTTGGAGAGGAACTTGCAGGTGGTGGTGCTCCCACACATCAACCCTTCTCTTTAGAGATGGTAGAGAATGTGGGGTTTAAAGTACTGTCAGGGGAACCTTGGTGAGTTGCTACTGTGTACATCTTGTACATCTTACTGATGGTACACACCGCTGCCCCTGTTCTTCAGTGGTGCATGAGGTACCAGTCAAGCCAGCTGCTTTGCTCTGGGTGGTTTTTGTGTTGCTGGAGCTGCATTCATCCATGGAAATTGTGAGCACTCTATCACAGTCCTGACTTCTGCCTTTTGAATGATGGACAGAAATTGGGGAAACGTAAGGAGAGGAACTCGCCTCAGTTCATTTGAACGAAGTACCACTGTGAGTAGCGTTGACCCTTTTCTTATGGCAGTCGTATTGATATGGCTGATCCAGTTCAGTTTCAGTTTGATGTTAATCTGCCAGGTAACTTTTAAATTTCATTCATGGGATCTGAGGATTGCTGGCCAGGCTAGCATTTATTGCCCATGCCCAATTGTACTGGAAGAAGTGGCGATGGTAGTGTCATTGAATGTCAAGGGGAGATGGTTCAATTCAGTCTTGTTGGAGGTGCTCATTCCCTTGTACATGTCACCACAAATCTGGAATTTGTCCTAGTCTTGTTGCCTAAGGTCACTGGCTGCTTCAGTATCTGAGGGGCAGCACAGTGGCTCAGTGGTTAACACTGCTGTCTCTCAGTGCCAGGGACCCAGGTTCAATTCCAGCCTTGGGTGACTGTCTGTTTGGAGTTGGCACATTCTCCCCATGTCTGCATGGGTTTCCTCGGGTGCTCTGTTTTCCTCCCAAGGTCCAAAGATGTGCAGGTTAG